GCGTCGTCCAGCTCACTCTCCAACTTTTTACACATACACACACAAACCACCGTCGAGGGTTTATGGTTTATGGTTTAGGGTTTAGGGTTTACGGGGTTAGGGTTTAGGGTTTAGGGTTTAGGGTTTAGGGGTGAAAGCTCAGCTCGAGATATACCGCTCCACAACCCCAGCAGGATTCAAAAACCCTCAGAGTTGATATTCTAGTGTCTAGGGTTTAGGGTTTAGGGTTTAGGGTTTAGGGTTTGTGTTACCGCTGCTATCCTGGCGACGAGGGTTTCTCTGTCTCCCTCAATTTCCTTCGGCGGCGCCGCCACGGCCTCCCCCGCGTTCTTCCTGCAGCAACAGAGAACCAGAGACCCTCTGGCTAGCTGTGTAGCTAGCTGTATGGCTAGCTGCGTAGCTAGCTAGCTAGCTAGCTGCCTATATGGATAGATGTATGGCTAGCTAGCGGTGTAGCTAGCTAGCTAGCGCTGTAGCTAGCTAGCCAGCTACTTCTATGGCTAGCAACCTATCTAGATAGCTAGCAGTATAGCTAGCTAGCCTTCTAGCTAGCTAGTTGTGTAGCTAGCTAGCCAGCTACTTATATAGCCAGCTACTTATTTAGCTAGCTACTTATCTAGCTAGCTACGCATCTAGCTAGCCACTTATCTAGCTATCTATCCGTCTAGCTAGCTATCCGTCTAGCTAGCTAGCTGTCTATCTAGCTATCCGTCTATCTAGCTATCCGCCTAGCTAGCTATCTGTCTAGCTAGCTATCGGTCTAGCTAGCTAGCTGTGTAGCTAGCTGTGTAGCTAGCTGTGTAGCTAGCTGTGTAGCTAGCTATCGGTCTGGCTAGCTAGCTGTGTAGCTAGCTAGCTAGCTAGCTAGCTAGCTAGCTGTATGTGAGTGGCTAGCTGCTGACCTGGCCTTATCGAGCTCCTCCTGCAGCGCTTCGACTTCAAACGTCTTCGCGTCGATCTCTGCGTCTTTCTGCGCCAGGGTTAGCTGAGCCACCTCTCTGCACCACAAACCCTAAACCCTAAACCCTAAACCCTAAACCCTAAACCCTAAAGCTTGAGGCCTAAAGCGGATTGCTGCTCTGTGGGGGGGGATTGCTTTTTCTCAGAGCTCCTGATCAACTAGCTAGCTAGCTGGCTAGCTAGCTAGCTGGCTAGCTAGCTAGCTAGACGTTTCCCCCCTTCCCCAGCTAGCCAGCCAGCTAGCCAGCTAGCTAGCCAGCCAGCTAGCCAGCTAGCTAGCCAGCTAGCTAGCTAGCTAGCTAGCTAGCTAGCCAGAAGCGTACGCACGCTTTTTTTTCTGCTGCCTGCAGCTTTTGCTCTA